ATGCTGCATGGGTGAGGGACAGATATGGAGGGACTGGGGCATGAGCAGAGTTGGGGCACATGCTGTGACATTCCCAAAGAATCAATGAAGAATAATGTTTAAATATTAACAAAACTTGCGGAGGGGGAAGGGAAAGCCCGAGATGGAAATCTATTCTCACTTTGAAGAAGAGCAATCTCAATGGAAATGGGAAACTTGGCCTCACTCTTACCAAGCATCACAAGGGGCAAGTCCACACAACAAAGAATGAAGGGATTCCACCACAGCATTAGGGCAGCTGTGGTGAGAGGACCAGAATCAGAACAACATATGCCAACACCAAGTTCTCAGCACAAAGGAGATTTATTTGCCCCAGAGGGACAAAGGGCTGGGGAATAAGGGACAAAGACAGAACGAGGGAGAAGGGGAAAGGAACAAGGGAGAGGAGGAAGGGATATTTGTCCCTCTGGGACAAAGGACTGCCTCTAGATAGAGAGGAGACAGATGTAGCCCACAGACAAACGGCAGTTTTTAAAGGGAAAGGGGAAAGGGGGAAACCCTGTGTTAGGATGAGGTGTTTCCTTTTAATTGGGCATGCTAATTAGGTGAGCCAAAGGGGGATTTTGATTGCTAGACCTTGGTAGTCAGGCCCTGGAGGAGAAAGTGGTCAAATAAGGAAATAGACCTTGGGGGCTAGCTTTAGGAATGTAATCTAAAGGAGAGAATGGGGGAGATGGGTCAAAGGCAAAACCTTTTGTTGACATGTTTGCCATGCCCAGGCCTGTGTTTGCCGTGTTTGGCCAGCTAGAACACGTCAGGTGAATCTCAACTCTTCCAGGGTTCCCTCCCAAACACCAGCCTCCCTGCCTCTCCTCTAGCTGTGGAGGCAGTGGCCATGGAGTCCCTGCTTCTGCAGTTTCTCTGGAGCCTGCCAATGTCCTGGGGGTAGACCCCATGCAAATATGGTGATGAGTTAGTGCAGTACCTTCACCTGAGTCTTCATCAACAGGACTCTCACTAACCTGGCCCACAGCTGGGGCCTGGGACTAGGAAGGTGAGCAATAAACACACTGCTGTGTCCCTTCCCACCCTCTTCAAATTTCCCTGTTTGATGGGGAGGGGGGATGGAAATGAGGCAGAAGAAGTCTCCTGCACAGGCTCTCAGGTCACATTCTGTAAACACAGAACCTCAACCACAGGGAAGGAAGATACCCTGCTGTGAACTGGGCTGCGACAGGACTCTTGAATCAAGGGGAGATATATACTACAGTTACCTTAGGTTTACACATGTGTGTACCATCTTGTTTTGTTTTCCTCATTTGGAAATCACCTCACCCAGCCCTCATATCCTAAGAGGATGTTGGATTCTCCAGAACTGGAGTTATAGACAGTTGTGAACTGCCATGTGGATACTGGGACTCGAACGTGGGTCTTCTGGAAAAGCTGTCAGTGCAAAACCACTGAGCCATATTTCCAAGCCACAGGCCTGGTATTCTTTAGTCTGTGTCTCAAATTTAAAAATTAAAAGTGCCAACAATGTGTTTGTTTTGATGAACCCAGCCCCCGAGCAGCCCCAGGCTGGGAAAGTGATTGTGCTCCATCTCCACTTGGTCCTAATGCCCTGAGAGGAAGCATTACAGCTCCCAGATTATTTTTCCCATAAGTCATTTAATAATATTTTCTTCTCCTAATGACTATTATGACAAGCAGCAAATTGGTAATTGCAGCCATCTAAGAACATGCACAGGGCAGATTTGCAGGATTAATGACCGAAAAAGTTAAATTTAGGTAATGCCTCCCAGTTGGCAGTCAGTCCTGCACTCATGTCCAGTTGAATTTGCCTCCAGGGAGGGAAAAAAGGCAGGTAAAGCTACTAATATGGAGGGTCTGAGGAAATTTCTAGCTCTCTCTGTCTCTCTCATGTGCTCTCACTCTCTTTCCTCTCTCCCTCCCCATTCCCCTCCCTTCTCTCTCCATCTCTCTATTTCTCCCTCCCCTCCCTCTCTTCCACTCTTTGTCTCTCCATCTCCTCTCCGTCTCTCCATTTCTCTCCCTCTTCCACTATTCCAAGTGTGGTGAACATTCTTATACAGTCTGCATAGATAATAAGAGACAGTTGTTGGGGTCAAGGCTGAGTCAAGCAGCTTCCATGGAGTTGTATCTTCCATGGCAGCCAGATGCTAAAATCCTCATGGGAGATGGAAGTTGCTATGAAAATGGCCTTTGAAAATGTCCAGCAGATGTTGGAATAGCTTCTGATCTCTAGCAAAGCACCAGCATTTTGGTTTGTATTTAGAAGCTACTTTGCACATTAAACAAAAAGATTCCAATGCAAAGTCACCCTCTGTTCAGCCAGGGGCTGGCACAGCAAGGGGCTGTTGCAATTTAACCTGGAGAGGTAATGGGAGGGTTTCCTTTAAGCCCCTGGGTCTTCCCAAGCTGACAGGAGTCAGAGGTGGAAATGCTCACTGCATTTACACTTCTTTCCTTCTTCCTCTCTCTCCCTCCTCCCCTCGGCCCCCTGTCTGCTCCTATTGTAAGCTAACTATACATATGAAACAGCATCATCAGTCAATTCGGTGTCAAGGAACTGGGAGTTATCTCCTTGGTAGCATCTTCCACTGAGAGGGTGGCTTTGAATGGAGAAGCAGTTATCTGATATAGGTCCAGGAAGACCCTCCAACCTGTCTTGCTTTAACAGAGATAAGAAAAAGAAGAGGGAGAAGAGAGGATCTGCTGCCTATATCTGTGCATCCAGCTGTTGGGTGTGCAGGGCAACATGGCGGCCTCTCCACCCCTCCAGTTTGACTGCAACTGCAAAGTCCTGGAAAAGTTAACCTGTTACCCCTGAGAACTGAACCCTGTGACATTGCTGTATGTTAGAAAGTTGCCACAAACACTGGACTGCTTACAGCTTTGGCTTTAACTTTTCTTGAAACAAAATGGTTTTTAAAGACTATTCTAATAGGACAAAAAGGGATACCAGGGAGCACACGGTCTTGAATGTCAACAATTTGACTGAGAGACAATTAAAGTAGCCAGGCTCAGCTCTGTGAGTCTGCAGGGATGCTTCACAGAGATGAATGATGTATGGAACAGAGCCTACATCCAGTAGGGGGCTCCGGTGGAAACAGGAGGGTGGTACTTGTAGGCCTGCCCTCTCTCTCTCACTCTTCCCGTGTGAGCTCAGGAGGGTTGTACTTCTAGGCTCTCCTTCTCTCTCACTCTTCCTGTGTGCTTTACCATGAGCTGAGCCCCTGAGCTCTACCACACTCCCCACCACCCTGCCCTGCCTCTCCATAGTTCCAAAAGCAATGGAGGCAAGGGGCCACAAATGAAAATCCCTGAAATTATGACTAAAATAAATCCCCTCTCCTTAAGTTGCTTTGCTCAGGAATTTTGTCACTGCAAAGAAAATCTGACTAATAAAGGGCACATCTCTGAAAGCCACAAGACCTAAACTCAAGTCCAAATTTATCTTGCTCTGTTTTGCCCAAGACGGTCTTGTTGAGTCATAGTGCCATGCTGCTGTATAGCTTTGATTATGGACATTTTCCCAGTTCTACCCAGCTTGACCATTGCTAACTCTTCCTGGGACCTAGTCTAAGCCTAATGCCAACATATGCAAGGAATACACACAAGAGAAAGCAGAAAAGTAGTTTAAACATTTCTCTACTCACCACTGAAGAAGATGATAAGAAGTGAAGCTAGAAGGCATTTAGGACAATAGCAAAATTACAGAAGTCATTGGAACTGCCATCTTGTCAAAATGTACAGATGTAACTGTACAAACGCTGCAGTGAGCAAGCGGTATGCTACTATACTGGCTAGTTTTATGTCTACAAGCTAGAGTCACTGGAGAGGAGGGAGCCTCAACTGAGAAAATGCCACACTAAGATCAAGTTATACCAAGGCTTGTAGGATATTTTCTTAATTAGTGAAAGATGGAGGAGGGCCCAGCCCATTGTGAGTGCTGACACCCCTGGGCTGCTGGTCCTAGGTTCTATAAGAAAGCAGGCTGAGCAAGCCATGGAGAGCAATCCAGTAAATACCTCCTCATGGTCTCTGCATCAGCTCCTGCCTCCAGGTTTCAGACCTGCACGAGTTCCTACCCTCATTGTTTTGATGATGAACTGTTATATGAAACTGAGCAGAATAAACCCTTTCCTTCCCAAGTTGCTTTTAGCCATTGCATTTTATCACAGCAATACTAAACCCACCAAGACAGATACTTACAAAGAGTCCAGCTTGATCCAAAGACACAAAAGGGCTGATGGTGAAATAAGGAGAAAAGATGTTTCATAGGAACCAAGAGGGAGCAGAGCATACTTCAAGAAAAGAAAAAAAACCACTAAGTCAAAAATTTCATGAGACAGAGAAGAACACAACACACTAATAAAAGGTTACATGTACCAAGAAATATTGCAATTAAAATGTGCATACACTATTAACTCCAGGAAAACATATGGAGTAAAGGTCGAAAAGGCTGAGGAAATGTAAAAGAAATGTAACACAATAGTTGGAGTTTTCAATGTTTTATTCTTTTTTACTATTAAAATTTCTTTTAATTTAAAGTTTTTAAGAATTTTTTTTAGAATTTCTTACATGACTGTATTTATATCATGTCTTCCCTCTATTGTCTCCAACTCCTCCCACATCCCCCTCAAGTTCATGACTTCTTACTAATTATTACTGCTACAAATGTATGCACATATGATATTTATATGCATTGTCTTGGTCATTATTTTGTTGTTGTAAAAAGACACCATGACCAAAGCAGTTTCAGAGGGCCCATTAGTACATTATCATCATGGCAGGAAGCAGACAATTATGGCAGTAGAGCAGAGGCACAGAGCTACATCCCAGTCCAGAGAGAGAGAGGGAGAGAGAGACAGAGAGAGAGAGGAGAGAGACAGAGAGAGAGAGAGAAAGAGGAGAGAGAGAGACAGAGAGACAGAGAGAGAGAGGAGAGACAGAGAGAGAGAGAAAGAGGAGAGAGAGAGAGAGAGACAGAGAGACAGAGAGACAGAGACAGAGAGTGACAGAGAGAGACAGAGAGAAAGAGACTGGTCCTGGTATGGGCTTTTGAAACTTCAAAACTCAGCCCCAGTGACACACCTCCTTCAACAAGGTCACACCCCCTAGTCCTTCCCAAAACAATTGCAATTTGGGATTAGGCATGCAAATATATGAGCCCATGGGGCCACTTTATTCAACCCCCCCACATGCATTTAGTGAGGCTCTTAAATATATATGTCCCAGGAGACCACTTGGCTTTGGAGAGGCTGTCAGGAGGCTGGTTCCTGGAGAAAACGGATTCTCTTGATTCTCTTAGCAGCTAATGATTGCCTGTCGTTCCCTTTTCTTCATAGAGGGGTGGGCTTGTGAGAGTCTTCATCCACACTGGCATGCCAGCTGGAGTTGTCATTATGCAGATCTTATCTATATTTAAGGAGCTTCTGTAAGTCTGTTAAAAAATCCCAATAGGAAGTCAGAAGTCAATGATAGGTGGAAAAGCAGTAGCTTTACAGATATAAACATTCTCACAAAAAAACAAGGAGAACATCAAATCATCAGTCTACTTTAACAACTTCAAGGAACAAGAAAAAGGGAAGAAAAATCTAAATGCAGAGCTGGCAAAAGGAAATAAATAATAGATATCAGGGCAGAATTAAAGCAAACGTTTGAAGCATTATCAACTATATCTAAGGAGGGTTTATTTCTAGAATATAAGAATGATACAACAGATGAATGTCTGCTAGTGTAATATACCACATTACAAGAGTGAAGAGAATACTGCCTGGCAGCTTAAATGATACTTACAAATTCTTAAAGTTTTCAAGATTGACATTAATAGAGGGCTGGAGAGGTGGCTCATCAGGTAATGTACATGCTATTCTTTACAGAGGACCCTCGTTTGTTTCCCAGAATGCATGCTGGGCAGCTCACAGCTACCTATATCTCCTGAATCAGGGGCATCTGATGTCCTCTTTTAGCCTCCACAGGCATTCATGTACATGAAAGGTCCAAGCAGAGGCCATAACAGGCTGCTTAGTCCTCTCTCAGGGAGCAGGCTTCCATTTCAGTTTCTGAGACTGAAGTTACTAAAGAAGAGCCACGAAGGATAATTAAACACTGGTGCCCCTAACAACAGGGACAGGGGAAACAGGACATAGCAAACCTGGGCTTCTGAGCCAGCCCCCATAATCACAGCTCAAGGTAATAACCACATAAAAAGACAGCTTGGAATTTGTCCAGGCCTGCCCAGAAATGGAGAGCCGTAGTCCTGACCAACCCCCGGCTAGCCCTGGACAATTAGAATGCAACAATATGATTGCCACTTGTGTAAGCCCATCATATCTAAAATGACCTACCTGCCCTAGGAACTCCCCTTAATCAGCCTTAAAAGGAGCTCACACACCTATCTCGGGGGCTCCACCATCTTGCCACTGTATGGGATAGTGGGCCCACACATGCTGGAAGCTTTCTTGAGATAATAAACACTCTTGCTGTTTGCATATGTGGATGGTGGTCTTTTGTGGAACTTCTCCAAGGCCATACCAGTGCACATACCCATAAATAGACACACATATATAAAAATGTGCTAAGGACTTGAATAGACATTTCTTCAAAAATTATACCAAAGTACCCCAATAAACCATGAAAAGGTGGTGAATGTGGCTAACCATTAGGAACGTAAGTCACAGGATGTAGAGAAATTTGGCCCTTTCTGTAATGGGAGAGACAACAACTACTCTGGGGACAGAAGGTGGGTGTCACATCTGGTCCAGCAAATGCACTTGATTGGAAGGGAAAATGAGCCTCTCATCAAAGGTAAAATAAAGACCAGGTGTGTTGTCATACTCCTGGTATTCCAGCACTCCAGATCAGAAGTTCAAGGCCCAACTGTGGCTATGTAGAGAGCCAAAAATTTCAGTTTGGGCTAAGCGAGGCTGACAGTCAGTAGATAAACAGAATGTGCTACATATAGATGTTTTTCAGCTTTCTGCCACTATATCAAATGCCCAAATTAACTAGTCTATTAGAACAAAGGGGGTTTTGGAGCTTTCAGTCCTCGACTACTTGGTTCCATAACTTTTGGGCCTATGGGTAAGGTAGCCATCATGACAGGGGTACATGTCAAAAACATTCACTTACAGTTAGGTGCAAAAGTGATAAGGCAGAAGAGGATGGAGTCCCAATATCCTCTTGAAGGGCTTGCCCTCAAGTCAGAAATCTTCAACTTAGCCATACCTCAGTAGCCTCACAACACTGTCCAAACGGAAATTAAGTCTTTGGGTAACATACCAGATCCAAACTGGAGCAAGAGTGTAATGTCACTCAGCCTTAAACAGGAAGACAATTCTGAAAAAGCATTGATGAAATCTGAGTGTAGGAGGCACAGCTTAGAGAAAGCATTGGAGGAACCAGGCCTATTTTCTTCAAGGGAAGGAAGTGTCTGATGCCTGGTCACCTGGAAGGTGGCTATAGATGTTGACTAACAACTTGGTGATCTCTTTGCTGTGATATGGGGTCAACCTTCCTGAATCTCCCAATATCCTGATCATTGCTTAGGCCCTTATCCTGAACTTAGTCTTTCAGTGAATAGGACCCATCCATATGAAAGATATCTCATGTGCTTTGCATGCTCCATCAAAATAATCTGTCCTTATGCCTACTATAAATCCTCCTTAGGCCCTTACTCTGAACACTGTTTATAGTACTCATACTTACTGTAAAGGCCACAGGTGCTTTACCACTCTGCAAGGGAGCTCCTATATAGCTATGCCTAAAGCTTTGTTGTGAAAACTGTCATGTGAAAATCTCTTCAAAGTTTACTGTGCTTAAATGTGTAAGAAAAATAAACTGGGAGGTCAGACTATAGAAGTTTTGACACAGCACTTGCAAAAGTCGTGCTGACCCAACTTTTATTCATCAACTAGTGTGGATCATTTCCCTGTCACCCATGATGCTTGCAAGGTCCTCAATACCTGAGGACACTGTGCAAAGTAAATAAGGAATTTATAAAGAGATGATCTGATTCCACTTATGTGCAAAGTCAAAGTCTCAGAGACAGACAGTGAGACAATAGTTGCTAAGGAAGAGTGAGATTCAGAAAGCAATATACAAAGCTAAAAGTTTGAAAAACTAGAAACAATAAAATACAAAAAGGAGTAAAAATATGATTGAACTGAAAAATTCAATAAACAGAACCTATAGCAGCAGGCAGCGTCTATAGCATTAGATAACCTTCTATAGCATCAGACACCTTCTGTGGCAACAGACAATATTAATAGCAGACTCAGAAAAGAACCAACAAGCATAGAGACAGAACACTTTAAATCACAGTTAGAAGAAAAACTAATTTTAGTATAGGGACAGATTCTAACATTCAAACATAGGAAATGAAGAGCTTTTCAATAAAATCAACAAAAGGGAGCTCACCAAGACACACAATAATTAAATTATTTTTAAAAGAAGAAGCAAAAGACCTGGAGAATGGCTCAGCTGCTGAGTACTCCTGCTGATCTTTAAGAGGGCCTGGGTTTAGTTCCCAGCACACGACACCAACATGGCAGCTCACAACCACCTCTAACTCCAGTTCTGATGCCCTTTTCTGGTTTCCTAAGACACTGTGCACATGTGGTACACCAACATACATAACGTAAAGCAAATAGAGACTTTGAAAAATCAAAAATAATGAAAAGAAAATCTGAGAGCAACAAAGGATAGAAACAGATCACAAACCAGTAAGTATTAATACAACGCAGGTGGATTTTTCAGCAGAATGACCTCCAGCCCAACAGGAAGTAGAATGGAATATTCAACATGTTGAAGAGGAAAGTGGACAAATAAGAACGCTTTATCTAGCAAGCCTACCTTCCAAAATAGAGGAAGACTACGGGAGGTCTTCATGATCAGATTTACATTACAGCAAGTGTTACAGGAAGATCTTTAAGCTGAAAACAAAGGCTACTCATTAACAACAAAAACATGAAGGCACAAAGCTGAATGATGTAAGGACAGCAGTTGTACTCAGACTGTCTAGGACCATGATGTGCACAGCAACTTTATCCCTACTACAATGGTACAGACGAGAATATCAGTATCAACTGCAGCCAAAACAAACTGACAAAATGTTGAGCCCCAGCCCCACTGGGTCTCTGTCACTGGTCAGCCTACAAGTGCAACTTGTTTTCCAGTCCAAGTGCTCCCTGTTTTCCAGTCTAAGTGCATCCTGTTTTCTAGTCCTGGTTTCCTGCCCTGGCCTTGACCCTCTGATACCAACATCCAGCAGGAGGAAGGAGGAAAACATGCTCTTTTCCACCTGGAGTTTTTCCACTGTGCTGTAAACCTGTATATCAGGCTGCCCCCTCCCTACAAGAGAGCGACCTCTTAGCACATGCAATAAAGACACACACACACACACACACACACACACACACACACACACACACACACTCCTGGCAATAAAGGCAGCACATGCATTCTCTTAGTACAAACAGCTGGACGTCTAGTCTTTCTTTTCCTCAGACTTGCTTGTGGCATGGGCACTGCAACAAAGAATACACAGAAGAGCATGTAAATCCTGACAGCCAAACTATAAAGTATGTGTGAATGTGAGTGTAGAGTTGATGTCTGTATACCAACTTTAAATTATTATGGGCTTGAAATAGGCTGACAATAGGATGTTCCATTGAAATATCACAGGTACCACACAAGGCAAAAATCTTTAGCAAAAGCATAAAGTAAAAATAGAAAGAATCCAAAGCATACCATTACAGAAAACCACCAAAGAACAGGAAAATATCAACAAAAGACAAACAACCACTTTACAAAATAATAGCAGTAAGTGCTTACCTTTTAATAACTACCTTAAATGTAAATTGATTAAATTCGTTATTAAAAAGACATAGAGTGACAAAATACAGTGATAAATAGGCCAACTCATTAAGAATACATAACAATTGTAAATACACACATATACATACACACACACACCACACATGTACACACATACCACACACACATACCTTTGAAACACTTAACTCTACAAAAGTAAATATGGAATGATTTAAGGTAGTAATACAGAAAGAGTGAGGAATTTCAATACCTCACTTTCAGTGAGGGAAACACAGGATTTGTATAATAATTCAAACTAAATGGGTACAAGAGACATACACAGAATATTTCCACCCGAGCAGCAGAATGTGTGCTGTTCTTCAACCCTCGTGGATTGTCCTTCTGGACATATCACATATGAGTATGCTAAGTAAGTCCTGTAAAATTTAAAAAGGCTAAGATTGTATCAAGCATCTATTCTGCTCTTGATGATATAAAACTAGGAACTGATAACAAGAAAATGTGGAAAGTACATAAATGGGTAAAAAATATTAGAAGTTTTTCCTGAACATTGAACAATGAGAATGAAATTTAGAAGACATCTTGAAATAGCCATCAAAGAAA